GTGTGTGTGTGTGTGTGTGTGTGTGTGTGTGTGTGTGTGTGTGTGTGTGTGTGTGTGTAAAATAAAGTATATCAATTTATTAATTTTTATATATTCGATTAATATCATTTTCTTTGTTGATGAAGGCTCTGTGTAGCCGAAACATTTAATTTTTCAATCTTATGTTATGTTAACTTTTGATGTACGTTATCAATAAATATTTTAATTATTAGTTTAAACGTTACTTATTTTTGCTCGCTTATCGGACTTCTATATATCGAACTTATATACTTATTGTTCAGTTGTACTTGAATATTTTATCATTGGATATAATATTTAAATTGCAAAAATAATATTTTTATTAATAGATAATTGATACGTCAAAATATAAAAATCAACAAAAAAATCGAGAAAAAAGTATCTATAATTGCAAGCACTGGGAACAAAATGCTATATTTCCCAGAAAGAAGCAATAGAAAATAATGAAAAAATCAATACATAGAAGATCCTGCTGATTCAGTTAAATCTAAAGAAAAAATTTTGTTTTTATTTTTGAGTGAAACAATTATATAAAACTATATAACAAGTACATATAATTATCTTTTATATAAAGAAAAAGAGTTTATTCTTTTTGTGTATTTATTCGATGTATTTATTATTGAATATTCGTCGACACTCTCCATACAACAAATTTGCATTCCTTCAATGCAATGCATTTTTATTATAATCTGCAACACTGTTGGATACTTTGATTGAATTTAATGATTTCTGAAGTGACCATCCGCATTGGCTTGTTGACATAGATAACAACTCGGCCACTTTCTGAGTGTTTTGTTTCCCTTCGAAGGATGTTTTCTTAATCTATAATGTCATAAAATATTTTTATTATAAGAATTATATTACTTATGCAATTACTTTATATGTAATTAATTTGATTATTAATTAATTTTTACTTATAGAAGAAAGAAATACCTAAAGAAATTTTTTTCTTCTATTTTATATATTAGCATATATTATATTATATCTATATTATATATTAGCATATATACAAATGAAGATAATTTACTAACTTCGTCAAATTTTCTTCTGACTTTGTATCCTCTATATATAGCTTGTATCATAGTAGCCGCCTCTTCTTCTGATTTAGCTGAATCAGCAGGATCTTCCATATATCTTGATTTTTTCATTATTTTTGGCTGCTTTTTTGTGGGAAATATAGCATTTTGTTCCCAGTGCTTGCAGTCATAGATATTTTTTTCTCGTTTTTTTGTTGATTTTTTGTTTTATCAGTTACCTATTAATAAAA